AGCCACACTTGTGATCTGTGCTGCTTGCTTCCTGGGCTAAACCTAAAGAAAATAGTTCTACCAAGTAAACTTGTCTACATTAAATTCTCCTTGTGGTTAATTACAGTAGAAGGTAGTTTACATTCAGTTTTTTGTAATTAATAATAGGTATTATTATAATTATTTGTTCAAAATGCTTTTTCCTCTTCATTTCCTTGTGAGTGCCCTCAGCTCAAGGGCACTTATGCTCTCTTTGTCCTCGTGTCCTCTCTTCCGTGCAGCATCCTCTAAAGACTTGTTTACACACAGGAGTAAGTCAGTGAGCTGAAGCCTGCTGTGTGCTATGTCTGGACATTGTTGTATATCCTGGGAGTGGCAGGCCTTATATGAAGTTTTCTATCACTGAGGACAGCACTGCAGGTCTATCTGTCACCATTGGGACACAGGAGAGTCGGGAGCAAGCAAGGCCAACGCAGCCTCACTTTCTAAAAAGTGGCAACTTTCCAGAGTTTGAGAGGAGTGTTCTCCAGAGCCTGCTGTCCCTGGTCACCCGCTGTGGAGGAGAGTGTAGAGAGGCTGTGCATTTGAGCATTGTAGATGCCATGCTTGCCTTGGAGGTGCCAGAACTGGACTCCACTCCTGGTTCTGTTACCTTGGGGTGTGTTGTGCAGTATCTTGAGTCTTCCTCTTGCTTTTTACTTCTGCCATGAAACTTGATAAATGTAAACTAAGCCTGAAAAAAAAAAGCATTATTTTAAATACACAAAGGGCAAAATTTCACACACTAGGCAAATGAGCATACATTATTGCTTCCCAGCACAGTACATATTTATATATTAAAATTAAATGGTGTGGAAATGTCACGGTGAAACCCCATGATTCTATAGTCTATATACATTGATTGTGATGTTAATCTTGTCTGCTTGAGTGGGTTGAAATGCCTAGGGGGTTAGTGAGGCACATCTCTAGGAGTATCGGTGGGGAGGGTTAGCCCAGCACATCTCTAGGGGTATCTGTGGGGGGTTAACACAGTACCTCTTAGGGGTATCTGGGGGGGTTAACACAGTACATCTTAGGGGTATCTGGGGGGGGGTAGCCCACTACATCTCTATGGGTATCTGTGGGGGGGGGGTTAGATCATCACGTGTCTGTACTGAGTGGATTGAGCCATGATGGACTCAGATGTTAATACAGTGTCAGGAGGGGTTAGAACTGTGGAAGGTGGGACCCAGTGGGAGGAAATAGTCTTTGGGTGGGGTGTCCTGGGGACTCTGGCTTGTCCTGGTCCTTCCTGTGACTGCCCTGCCTGCTATGCTGTGAACTGGTCCAGAATACCTTCCCCTTGATGATGGGATGAGACCACGAGCTGGAATTCTCATTTTCCTCCTTTAGGTTATTCTTTTAGTGTCATTTTCCACAGCTACAGACTAACATACTGCTAGGAAGAGATAAGGATTGGGTAGACTGAGCAAAAGTAACATCGGTTAATAAAAATTACAAATTACAAGCAGTTTCAGGTCATCTGCTGTCTCATATAAAATATCTCTACTATGTAACGATTGACATACATGTGTAGGTGTGTGCTTCTAATAATTTATAACAGAGACCATCCCTTGTATATGTGCATAAAAATTCTGGAATGATACAGACAAACTACTAAACATGTTAATCTCTAGAAGTTAGTGGTTACAATTTCGAGTGTTGAAAACTTAGTTTTTGTTTTCTCTGCTTCTTACTTTTTAATTTTTTCTATGTGTAGAAACTAGAATTATAAGAAACTAGTTTAAGGGGTAGGGCAGGAGCTCAACGATCAGAGTGCTTAGCTAGCATGCATAAGGCTCTGAGCCTGATCCCTAGGGAGGGAGACGGGAGGAAGGAGAGAGGAGGGGGAAGCAGGAGAGACCGAGGGAGGAGGGAGTGAGAGCTCTGAGGTGGGTTTTTTTAGAAAGAAGGAAATAGCAGAGACCTCTCAGGTAGAAGAGCTGGGATGTGAGTCCTTCTAGCTACAGTGTATTAATGAGACGTGGTTGAGGGATGTCATTAGCTGAATGACTTGCCAAGGTTTCCAGTGATGAAGAGAGCAATGTAGTGGGGGGAAGGGCAAGAATAAGCAAATAGGGCCACCTTGGTGTTTTAGATAGATGAAAGCTTATTTTAGTTAATTAAACCTGTGGAATGACTGTTAGTCCTGTTTTTGTGTGTGCCCAACTTGTGCAACAGTCTGGAATAGCAATCTAAGAGAATCAAGTTCTTCTGTACTGGTTTGGGTTTGGCCAGTGTATTATAGACGTTCAGTGGGCTTTTGCTATCCCAAATCACAAGTAATCATAGGACTTTGGAACTTAGCATGACAATACATGCTTGTATTCCATGCAGTAGGAAGCTGAGGCAGGAGGATTGTGGGTTCAAGACCATGGGCTCTATAGCAAGACTGTCTTTTTCTCTGTCTCTGTCTGTGTCTCTGTCTCCATCTCTTTCCTGCCCCCTCCCCACTCCCAAAAAAGAACGGAATTTTTGGCAGAGAAGTCTTATTTACCATGAAAAAAAGACTCTCTTCTGTTTAATTTCATGTTTTCCATTCCAAACGGCGCTTTAATAAATGTGGCTATTTTTACACTAAATAAGTTTGTCTTAGTAGCTCAGTGTGTTTAAGTATATGAACTGTCTACATGACATACTACCTAATAGGTATTTAGGTGTAATGTATTAATCATTTCTTCTCCTTATTGCTCTGAACTTAGGTACAGATTCTTTCCTTGCGCCCCGGACCTAGTAGAAACACGCACATTTGCCTTTCTTTTTTCTTTAACCATGCAACTTTAAAATACACTCCATTTAAAAGAACACAGTGCCTGCCCACAAGTTCAGCGTCATGCTTAGTACCACGGAGACAAATTAGTGTCTCATTAGAATACAGCTCCCCTCAAGGGAATGCTTTCCAGGCTTATCTTTTTTTTTTTCTTATGCTGAGAAAATTCTCTTAAGACTAGTGAATATTCTTATTTTATTGAAAGTAAATTTTGTTTCATACAGTATCTTATCTTCCCCCAACTCCTCCCAAATCATCCCCACCTCCCCACACATCCAACTCCACAACTTCTTTCTCTCTGTCTTTAGAAAACAAATAGGCAAATAAAAACAAACAATAATAATGATAATTACAACAAATATAAAACAACAGAAGCAAAGAGACACAACAAAAAAGAAAACCCATAAAAACACAAAATCGGAAACCATAATATACAAGCAAAAAAAAGACAGTAAGATTAAAAAAAAAAAAAAACAATGTGAAACAAACAAACAAAAATTTCCAAATATACCATTGAGTTAGTTTTGTGTTGGTCATCTTCCACTGGGTACGAAGCCTTCCATGAAGTGTGATTTATATATCCAAAGGGCCTCCATTGGAGAAAACGAATTTTTCCTTTGTAAGTGGTTGTCAGTTGGACATAGCTTCTGGGTTAGGGATGGGAGCTCATGTCCACTTCCCATTTCAGTGGTGGAAGGCCAACTCACTTAGACTTGTGCAAACCTTGTGCATGCTGCCAGAGTCTCTGTGAGTTCATTTGTGCATCAGTCCTGTTGTGTCTGGAAGACACGGTTGCCTTGGTGTCCGTTTCCTCTGGCCCTTGCAATTGTTCCACCTCCTCGTCTGCATAGTTCTCAGGGCCCCGAGGTGTGGTCTCCCACTCTCTGCACATTGTCCAGTTGTGGCGGCCGTATTGATTTCCAGTGACTACAGAAGGAAGCTTCTCTGGTGACGGCGGAGTGAAACATTGATTTGGGGTATAGCAGAATGTCAGTAGGAGTCATTTCATTGCTATGATCCTTCAGCAGAAGAAGAGTATTTGTTTTTCTCCTGGGGCCACGGCCTATCTGGTCTTGGGTTCTAGGCCCCCTAACAAATGTTGGGAATGGGTTGCATCTCAAGGACTGGACCTTAAATCCAAAGAGACACATTTGTGCCTCACAACAATTGGTATCACAATTGCACAAGTATATCGTGCAGACTTGTCACCATTGTAGATCACAGAGTTTGTCGGTGGGTTTCTGTTTACTTTTCTCCCCTAGTAGCATACAGAGTGCCTTCCAGTACCCTGAAACACTAGTCAGGAGGGGTGGAGGCTCTAGTTGGGCACCAGCTCAACTTCTCTGTTTTCATTGAGATATTTAAGTGAAATATGTCTCCAGATAACAACAGTTTGTGGAGAGCAACTAATGGTCTTGGTAATAGCCAAGTTGTTTGGGGGTTTCCATGGACCCCTTTGGCCAACAACTCAATTAGATGTAATCCATTCCTGGAACTGGAGGTTTCACTTGATGGCAAATGATGTCTGGTTGGAGCTTTGTCTCCTCCATTATTTGGTGACTCCATTTAGACTTATTTCACATTTGAAGCTTTTACTATAGTAGGCTTTCATATGACCCCTCGAATAGCCATTAGTATTAGTTGTCCCTGTCTGTATTCCCTCTCTAACTCCCCGCCTGTCCCCCTCTATTTAATCCTGTTCCAGTTTCCCCGTTCCTTTGTAACTCTATATTCTATTTCTCTTTCCTTGAGAGACCTCACCTGAATCTCTTACTCTATTCCTACCCTCTGTGATTGTATAGATCATAGTGCGCCTATTGAAGTTAGTGGGTATTCTTATTTGTTCCAGTGCTAATATAATTTACAACTTAATCAAACTGTTCTCATGAGAGTCTACATGTTTAGCTAGTGATTCTGTGATTTGTGTTTAACAGATTAGTTTTCTTTTATCCAGAGGCTTTGGTCTATAGTGTATGACTATATGTGTGTGTAGAGCATGCATATGTGTGTAGAGTATGTGTCTGTGTGTATAGAACATGCATGTGTGTGTTTGTAGATCATGTATGTGAAGTTAATTATACATCAGACATGTTTTAAAACAGAAAGAATGATGCCACTAGGAAGACTGGTGTTAGAGTTGTCAATGTATCCATTTAACTTTGTAATGTTGTATTTTTTTTGTTTGTTTTTATTTTCTTTCTCTGGTCTCTAGCCTGGGAAGTGATGACACACACTTTGAGGTGAGCATGGCCAATGATGGATGTGAAGTGCATCGTTTTGATCCTAGTGTCAAATCAGCCCATGTTCTAGAGAGCCAGCACCTTTGGCATCACCGCTTGTCCATTGATTGGAGGGATCCACATCCAGCTGTGGCTGCTCAAAAGTCACATAGCAACACCAGAAAACTGGGAAGCATTTTGAATGAATTTGGGCATCACAAGGTGAGACTTCTTCTCATTTGAATTCACAATTAAATAAAGTGAATAAACCCATCAAATTAAGAAAATGAGAACTGAAGCTAGTAATGTTGGAAAGCTGAAGACTTGGTTTTTCAGTTTTTCTGGTCACTGTACATTGTTTACAGAGATGACCTGTAGACATGATGTTTGGTAATGCTAGAACTGTTTACACTGAATTGGGGAGTTTAGTTGCTCCTAAAGAATGCTAAGAATAGCCAAAATGATACAAGAAACTAAGAAGTTACTTCTGACAGAGGCTTCAGCATACTTAGGAGTTTATCTAAAGTTTCCAGAAAACTAAACTGCTTATTTCAACCTTGGATATACAAATGCAATCCTTCCCATGTTTATGTTTGGTAAGACACTGATTTTGCATAATATTTCTCAAGTTACTTGCTATTTTGAGACCTTTGGGTCTCAAAGTACAAAAAATACATGTATTGCTGAGTAAAATCTACTTTGTAAAACTCAGTGGACATCAGTACATTGCAATTTATATAATTATGTCAAAACATGTAAAATATGTGCAAATACTCCATTGTGGAGGAACAGCATAAAGGAACTCAATCTTTTAAGTGTTCCTTGAACCCAAGTTTCAGCATCATATATCCCAGCTAATGTATATTCTGAGCAGATTCTAAAAAGGTGATTTTGTATACAGTTGCCTTTTTTGGTCTTCATCTCTCCTTGAGCAAGTTTGGCCTGTCCTAGCCTGTGTTTCCCAGCCTGCGGTGCTACGTAATTTAAAACATATCAGAATAGGAGTCCATCTGTGAGACAAGGTGTGGGGAACTTTAAGTTTGAATTGGCTTCTTGGTTTTTAATAAAAGGACTTTTCCTCCCTGTCTTAGTTAGGGTTTCAATTGCTGTGATAAAACATGATGACTATAAACAAGTTGGGGAGGAAAGGGTTTATATCCTCTTACAGCTTGTAATTCATCATTCAGGGAAATCAGGGTAGGAACTCAAGGCAGGAGCCTGGAGGCAAGAACTGATGTAGACAGAGTCCATAGAGGAATGCTTCTCACTGGCTTGCTCCCTGGGACTTGCTCAGCCTGGTTTGTTGTAGAACTCAGGACCACCAGGCCAGCAGTGATACTGCCCAGTGTGCTGGGCCCTCCCACGAGTTTACCTATAGGCCATTGTGATGGGGACATTTTCTTAGCTGTGTTTTCCTCTTCCTAAATGACCTGTGTCAAGCTGACCCAAAACTAGCTAGTGCACTCCCTTTAATCAGACAGTCAAAGCTTTTTCAAGAACAACCTTAAAGAATTTATTGCTCTTCTAACATAGGACTGGCTATTTGTATTTTGTTTCTGCCACCAAGAGAACCAACATCTGACATCTAGGAATCTTAATGCTTCCTACCTACAATATTTTGGGCAAAATCTCTGAATAGAACTGTTTTTCATGTGCTACTAAGTTTTTAATAAGTGTGAGAAGTGGGGGCATTTTTCAGAATTCTATTCCAGTTTATTCTATTTGTCACTCTAACTTTTGCAAACCTGCTTTGCTTTACTGATGAAAATTACAAACCAGTTCCCTAATACGTCAAGTCTAGGTTATCTGTAGAATGAAAACTTATGTTCAGTAAAGAGTCATGTTGCTGCTCTCTCTGAGTTACTTCCTGGTCCTGTCCACCCTCACTCTTTGAGACAAGACTGAATAGGCAAAACAGGTTAAAGTCAATGCCCCTTTGCATTTTTCAATACATTTTTTAGCAAAGGACTTCCTTCCTATAAGGGAGGATAAAATGAGGCTTTGAAAAAAGTGATGTGTGTACATAATTTATCCAAGCACATTTCCTCTATAGTATAATTTAGGACAATGAGACCCAGGGCTGAATTGCATGTGTTCAGCTCCCTGGGAGCTGCAGTGGGCCAACCTTTATTCTGGGGGTAATGTGGAGCATTTTGCCCCTAGATAGCAGAAGCATTTGCAAGGATACTTAAAGAGCAGAGATGATTGCAAGGGTTGCTTTTGTTCTTAAAGTGACTTATTTTTCTTTAAAAACATTAATAACAATGAAAGTGATCTGCCTCAGAATTGCCAGGCATGTACTTGATGTTTAAAAGAAAATTCATTGTCAAAGAATGGAAGCGCTGTTAATCTCCTTCATAGAGATGCTTTGCATGAGTACTTCCAAACAGAAACAAGAAATACTAAGCCACCAGTGAGTGATTGCGGTCCCTTAGAAACACACTGCTAGGGCTACGCAGTGCCAGATAAAAGGAAATCTCATTTGTGGCCTGTGGAGAGCGCGGTCTGTTTTCATTTCTCTCTGTGTATGCAGACATTGATAAATAGGACATGCCTTTGGCAAGGGAGGTGGATAGAGACAAACACTCGGAAGGATTGGTATTTCCATCTCTTTGTCCGTTGATTCTGAAAGTGGAACTAGAAGCCAAACAAGGCTTTGAAGATTTTAAAATATCTCATATGGTTTTGTGATAATTTACATGTTTGGCTGTGTTGTTGTTGTTGTTTTTGTTGTTTTTCTTTTCTTCTCTGCATCCAAACCTAGTTTCTAGTCAAGCACGGAATGTGAGAGCCAAACGCCGGCAGTATTTGGAGACAGTGACAGAAAGATGCGTATGGCTCTTGTGCTGCTGTAAAAACTCTTTGCTAATTTTAACTTCAAACTATAAATCAAAAAAAAAAAAAAAAGCCTTTACAGAGCATCATGCAGAAGCAGCTGCATCAGCAAAGCCTCCTGGACCAGGAGCCCTGCCTGCCGGGGAGTAATAGCACCTGGATCCAGCCTCACTGGGGATGATTAACTGTCTAGCTCATGCTGCAATGGTGCTGCTGTTAACTAAAGTCTATGAATTTTTCAAGAACGGATGGAGATTAAACCCGAGGATTCTGCTCTTATTAATTTTATTGTGTGGTTTCTCTCTCCCCAAGCTCTTTATCGCATAGTCAGCATTTCCTAAATGATACAGGCTTGGTAATGATAAATTATGATCATTATTGTTACCAGCCAGCCAAGGGTTCTGCCATGTTTGGGTGGAAAATGTGGTTGTTAAACTGCAGCTCCCTTAATTCCAGCAGCTCTGAGCTTAGGAGATTGGGAGCCTCTGCTCTTTGCATTCAGCTCTGCTACTCTGAAGCATCCAGAGGTACTATTGAACTCTCTGGTCTTGCGTTGCAGTGGCTAGGGCTTGTAGTACTTCCAGCTCTTAGCTTTCCACAGTCTTTCCCTTGTGTCTTTGAAACCATTGCCTTCTATGGTCCCCACAGTCTCAGTTCTCCACAGAGACACTTCTACAGTCCGTCGTAGCCTCAGTCTGCTCCAGTCTCTGTTCAGGGCCAGTCTCAGGAGCTCTTCTGCTGCCTTATAGCTACTACTGGGGGTGCCTAAGGCCAGTAGCCCAGAGAGTGGCCACTTTTCATGCCACAAGCTCAGCCCACTCTCTCCATGATAAAGACCACAAGGTAGGCAGTGTGACCCCTCAGAAGAGGACCTGTGAATGCCTAGTGTTGCAATGTAGTAGGATAGTACAGGAGGGAGATCTGACCGGAAGAGTGAGAGGTGGCAGCTGACACAGCCAGTCACCCATGCACACGGCCCTCTGTTTACAACTACACACATAGTCACACAGTCTGTGAGATTATACTGGGCCTGTCACAGATGCAATCAGTGCCCAACTTGACTGAGGGTTTTGGGTGACTTCTGGAATGGCTTCGACAGATCATCTGATGCTGTCACAGCTGAAACAACATTTTCAAGAGTTGATTCAGAGTGTCTGGAGTGGCTCTTAATAAATGAAGTATGTTTCAAAGCAAAAGCCTCGGTTGGGGTTGTGGCCATGAAAGCTACTGTTGGTTTAAATTATTGGAAGGAGACCCCCTACAGCCACCCAAGCAACCATGAGATGGCGAAAACAGAGCTACCATGACAACAGCTGGAGGAATCACACAGTAATAGCTAGTTGACTGACAGCTCCCATGATTGTTATGACAATGGGGCTGAAGTTATAGTTGCTGCCATCCCAAGTGGGATGGTACCAATGTCATTCCCAGCCCACTGGATCCGAGAACCATGGAGACAACAGAATTGGGCACCATCCAGACTCAGTCCTTTATGGTCCTGGAGTCATGCCCTGAATGGCCTCCTTAGCAACCACTGTAGCAACAGAAAAGGATTATCTGATGGCTGTCAGTCAAGCAGAGGATCAGCACACCCCTGACGTCAGTCATTTGAAAGGAACACAAGCAAACAAATCACGACAAAGATCTAGCATGAAATTTCATTCTTTGGTGCACTTTATCTAAACATCATAGCCCCTAACTGATGCCCCAGGGTGGGATGGGCTCTCCTGATCTGCATCTGCCTTATTATGACCTTCAGTCTTGACCCTGCTGCTGGTGGCATGAAAAGACGGCTTCCTAGGTGCTTACCTCCAAAAAAACCTTAATCAAGACTTGAATGGAAAGCTAGCTTGTTAGCATTTGGCACTGGAAAAGTCACCTGACCGCTCTGGCACTCAGTTTGATTATCTGTAAAAATGACAGCATTAATAAAGTGTGGCTTATTTGGAGAATTAGATTTGAGAACAGTACGGGAAGTCTCCAGCCAAAAGCCTGGCATGGGTTCATCACTTAATCTCTTTCAGCGAATTTAAAAAATTTGACCCACATGTCAAAATATTTCAGAAAATGCCGATTTTCCTTTCTTTGTTTTCAGGGAGAATATAACATAGATTCATCATAGTTGCTAAACACAACTAATTTCAGGCAAGCATTGTTGTTCGTGAAAGCTTTGTGTGAAACTAAAGGGCACTTGGTCCTTCAGATATGGTTGAAAGAGAATTATTGCTGTTTGCTGCCTTGGGGCACTGAACAGCTTTGCTGGTGACTATGTGGAAAGTAAATACTGTGCTTCAGAGTGAATAAATAGCCACTGAGAATTAATTGGAATCTGTTTCACATGAGCAGATGTCCACCTCCGGGCTGGACTGTCTGGTCAGAGGGCTCTG